ATGCATAGCACAAAATGACCATTTGCCTGCCTGGCCCCCACTTAAAATTAAGTAAGTGCCCCCTTTTCCTTGAAAAATATCTCTGAATACGATCCTGTTCTGTAATTCCTGCCTTATTCGGACTACCACCTTTGGTTAATTATTCAACCAGCTTGAATGTACCAGGTAATGACCGCTTCCACACATCCACCCCAGCGGAGTGCGGTGCAAGTCGCTGGAAATCGGGCCCACGACCTGGACATGGGACTACAAGCGTCGGACGGTGACGTCCGTACAAACTTCAGTAGACCGGCAGCACAGCTCTCACATCGGGCAAGTTTTTATTAAATACACGACGAATAAATACAAAAAACGTGAACAACATCCACAACACCTTCGTGCGCAATCTTCGTACATACGAACACCGGTCGACAGAGAAAAAAACCACGAGAAGAAAATACAAATAGCCGACAACACTCTTTGTTTAGGATCATTCGCCAGAGAGCCACCTTCCCCTTTTAAAACCGAACAAGTTCATATTTCTCTTTTATTTAAGACACGTTATTAGTTTGTAGTGAGGCACATGTCGCTTAGAACAACGACATTATATGTTTGGGCTGGGTGACCACCATATCTAGAGGCTGTGGTTCACATTACAAAAAAATATGTCTTTCATTTTGATTCGCAATGGAACGCGAACGAAATAATGCGGTGTGTCTGATATGTGTGGGAAAAAGTAAGGTGCGATGCGCAAGGGCTGAACCTCGCACGGCACGATCAGTGTTCAGGCAAGTAGATGGCAGCACTGAAGTGCCTCTCGCGCCATCTGCCGGTAGGTTGAAAAGAAACCATCGGTTGTGTTGCACTGAAGTGGTGCGTGTACGTCTGTGTGTGGTACATCTACATTGAAACGCGCGAGAGAAATTGAGGAGGGTGACGATTTTTTTTTCTCGAGTCATACTCGAAGACATCCCCCACAAGCGTGCTTTCGACTCGACTTTTCTCCTGGACATGATCACCTCCTGGATCTCCCAGGCACCGGATATCGGAGGTAAAGACACTCCTCGGCAGAGAATAATTACGTGTCAAAACACGTTCACTGGTGCTTTCCGGTATGACATGGAATGACCATTGTCTTTAGGAGATAACGAAAACGTCCGAACGCAGGCAAAACCTCGATTTTAGAGAAATGACGTGTACTATTAAAATAAATCAATGAGAAAATTAAGCTTTTGAAACAATGGTAACCAAGCTCGTCAAGTCAACACCAACCAAGAAGCGCTTTCGATTCAGCGACACATTCACGACACTCGTTTGAAAACCTCGAAGCAGCGATTTGGGCACATTGCCAAATACATAGAAGTATGTCGCGAAAATACGAAGGCGCCGCCTTTTAGCTTCGGGAGAGGATGACATTAACCTGTTAGGAAGCTTTTTGGATGCCATAACAGAAAGCAAACTCTCCACCACCGGGGCTTATCGGAGAACTTTGTCAGTGAATTTCGCTGGCCCTAACTGCATCATATAGTGCTTTTGAACCAAACCGTATTATGCACATTAGTCCTTAAAACAATGGAAATATCGAATATCCCATCAAATTCGCTGAATCGATGTTTTTCGCTGTATCGAATCATCAGGGTCGAGCCCTCACGATGACGAGAAAAGTTGAGGTGCGGTACGCTTGTGAAGCGAACGGAAAGCCGAGTCGCATTCAATCCTTTTAAGTATTCAAAGTACGATCGCATTCGGAACTGGATCGAAATTACATTCCGCAAACGACGGCGCCTGTAAAAGGGCGTTATTTTGTTTCGGCGTAGTGCCACTCTTTCATCTGTCAAGCATGAAGCGTACGAAGAAACATCATAAACGAGGTCTCAACACTCCACAACGAGAGTTTAGGACTAATGTGGTAGTCTTGTGCAAGTTAAGTACGTCTCAATATTCTAGACATAGCGATCGAGAGACGCAATTAATGACGGGCATACTGTGAACATCAAAACGGTTTTCCCACTCTACATGAAGGCGTTATAGTAATACGACCTGAACTGCACGACACCTAATACGAAACTTCCGCCAGCGAACGAGCTAGGACGAAGTCTATAACACCGCAATACTTGAAGACACTCCCTATATGTGTCGTCGCTGGGCACACTCGCTATTCGGGCAGTACGTAAGGGAATTATACACGCGCCATACATCGCTCTTACACGTGAAATCGCTAAGCCTAACACATTGGCCAGCTACGGCTAACGCAGCAGAGAAAAATATATCTCAATGTGCAGCTGCAGTTTTGTGTTCGTGAACGATGAGTTTATCAACACAAGGAAGGGGAAGTGTAGTTGGAGATTTGCACGTTTCAAAAAGAAAAGTTTTGTAGTTTTAAGGCATGTGCACCCGAGCGGGTAAGAAGACGCTCACGTGGCCATCGATCCTAGATCTACCGTTAGTACAGCCCGATTCGATTAATCCGATTCCCACCGCTTCTATTAGACTGTTTGAAGCCTATCCCGCGAGTCGCTGGTATACACCGTGTCGTTAAGTTTGTCCACGGCCTGCGTTTCCTTTGTTAGATTCGGAAACTGTCGCGTTATAAAACTGGCTCTGCCCTTTGGAAGGTGAATTCACTTTGGATTTACCATTGAATGAGTGCCTAATCGTTCGTCCACTTTTCGAAAGATGGCGCCACTGTACGGGAGACATTTGTTGACGTAACCTTTTGTGTACTACGGTAAGGTATTAGAAATGTAACCCATTGACGTTTCTGTGATGACAGCTTGCGCTGAAAATACGTGAGAACTAAAGAGTGGGGGCGTCGTGGGCTTATACGTTTCGACGAGAGTGTTGCGTCTTTGTCGAACCTTACGCCAACAGAAAAGGCCTTCAACAAGAGGTGCAATAAAGGTCTTCAGAACAATACATTTGAGAATTACGATTTAAGGACATTAAAAAGAGGTCTTGTTGCTACCAAGAGTGCTTCCATGGGGCATAAAGGCCTTTAACGAGGGAAGACTCCATCACTGAAGGCTTTTACTAGAAAAGTCTTTTTTCTTACTACTAAAAAGGGTCAGAATTCGTTCGTTAAGCGTTATACCACCTACGTCAAGTGGAATCGCTGTGTAGAGGGTCGTGACCAAGATTGCTCGTCTTCGCGAATACCGTTTGTTCAAGATGAAGGCCTTTGTACGGATAAATTATTTTCTTGAAGGTCATCACGAAAACACGCATCCTGTGAAAGCCTTTCCTTTTGGCAGGACATTAGATGAAGATACGTCGTGTTGCCGATATAATGGCGCCAAACTGAAACGACATCCCCTACCGTCCTCCCATATTTTCTGTGCAGTAAAATACCAGTATCTAGGCTAAGTACGACTTTTTCAAAGTCACTTTTCCGTGAATAGCCTATATGATTATGGTCTTTTACCTAGCAGTATGATGGACAGAATATGCCCGCTGCTTTTCTACAGTTGGTTAAATACAAAAAAGTGAAACAAGTAAGTATATTCAAGGCTTCTTGATGTTCGTCGTGGGTGGGCTCGAAGTGTCACACAATGTTCGCGCGGAGTGCGATGGGGGTCAAAGACTTTGAGAGGTACGTCGACGTGGTTAAAAAATATGCTTTCGTCCACCAGTCCTCGAATGGCTATCGGGAAGAGGGGGAGGGAGTAAAAATTTAGATTTTTTTACGCAAAAAAAAAGACACTGGGCGGGCAAGTCCCATCTGTGGGCCCATGTTTTGTACTGAATGAAAATCGGTCCAAAAAAATCTCGTTGCCGCGTCATCTCCGGCAAACTGTAGTCGCTGTCCATGAAGACGTGCAGTTGTAGGCTATGGATATTTTTTTTCTTTTTTACTAGTGTGTACGATTTTCGTTACGCGATAAGATGAAGAATCAGCCACGTCTCCATACTCTTACACGTCTTTGTAGGTCTTGTTTTCCGCCTCAAAAAAAAAAAAAGCTATGCATAAGCAGCAGGGAGAGTTGACTGTAGATATAGCAATAAAACATTATACTGACGAATATCGACATGGACAAGGAGGACACCGCACAGCAGAGGATGTAGAAATACACCATCTGGCACTGCCGATGTTCTACTCATCCTTGCGCTGGTGCACAAGTTTTAAACATAGCTACAATAAAACACTGCAGGTCCACTTCACGTCCTTTTTTTTTAAGAATTGATGTGCGCGTGCTGACGCAGCCTGAAACTGTTCAACACCCGAAAAACGATCGCAGTTTTTTTTTAACAAAGGCTTCATTGCTTCTATGGCCGCCTGCTGTAACTGGTTCACAATTAGGTCGTCGGTGCATTGCCTAAAATTAGGGTCGTTGAGCTAAACAAAGCGTTTCAGTGAAGTTTGGACGCTAACATGGCGAAGAGGCTGGGAAAGGGGGGTAGAGGGTAGTGCGTTCGATATTATTGAACTGTGAACCAACATTCGCGCGTACACACTGAACCATTTCGAGAGGGTCATACACGAGGAGACATTGTCAACGGGATCGGGGTAGGGGCTATTGAGATCTTACTTTTACACAGCGTAAACTACGCACGGAGAAAATACAGCACAGTCCTATTGTAGAGCGCGACGTCAAACTGCTACACTTCGTAAAAGGAAACGTTCGAATGGATCAATCGAATGAAATAATAGCTTATCACTACATAAGAGAAATAAAGATCTTAAACTGGGTGCCATCATTGGGGATTTCTGTTCTCATTGAGAGCCGACCTGGCTTGCTTTAGAAATCGAGCTTTCGTTTATCAATCAATTTTTGCTGAATAAGTATCGTCACTGACGGCAATGATCTTAGAAAACAAAAAAAAACAAAATCTGTTTGCTCTTCCCACCTCAGCGTCGTTTTGAACACTATGCAGTGGCATTATATCTTGGCTGAATACACGTATGGAAGTCTTAACGCGAACCTTCCCGACATTCGCTGCGACTAACGCGACATCCACCAGCGGCCCACAGATCTCCAGAAGAGCAAGCGAAACATACAGCGTCACAAATTGTCACCAAGGCATACAACTTACTATAGTTTTTTTTTTGTTCTCACAGACACCACCGCACACTTCGTGCGGCACTCTTTGTTTTGTCCGCGTATTGTTCTGCGAAGTCCACACTGCCCACGACTTGTTCAATAACGAAGACGTCCGCGATTCTTGCACGTCAGTTGCTTGATAATACCGTCTTTGCCCGCATGCCAGCCACTGCCGCGACGGTCTATCATTCCCGACTTCAGCTCGACGATTTCAATACTAGACGGCGAGAGCTTTTCTGTATAGTCACCGCTTGAAGACGATAAGACGTCTTGCATTCGTCTCCGGCATGCACATCTTGTAGACGTCTCTCTACCACGTCCGAGCAGAGGTGTCCAAGAGACGTCGATATATTTCAGCCGTGCATGTCTATTCCAATATCAAGTGAGCACGAAAAAAAATGAAAACGGACGTTCATCAAAAGTTCAATTATGAACTCGGAAGACGAAAATGCCCCAGCGGTGTTACCTAATGTGTATCGAGACATCCAGTCACCGGTCCTCAATGTGAAGCAGATATTTCTGCAGTATCTTTCAGTGTTTCCAAACACAACCAGCGCTGTTACCTCCACACATCCCTTATCACTGGCAATGTTGGAGCCGCAGCGGTAATCGGCAAAATGTTGTGCAGCTACCCGCACATCTTTCTCATTTCCGGTTCATCGGCATCGGGCTTCGTTCTTTTTTTTCTTTTTACATTCTTAACGGCTGAAATACTTCCTTCACGGAAGAAATAAGTGAGGTTGCAACGTTCCCACACTCAGAGCTGCCACACGCAGTTTTCAAATGTCTGACACATTTTGAGAGTTCCGTAAACATCTACTCTCCATCTCTCCAGAAATTAACTTTTGTGACCCGGCTTCGGAGTTGGTTGTTTTCCGCACTTTCTGCCACATACTTCACTGTGCCATGGACTTAATTTTTTTTTGTATGACGCTTTGTACCTTAACATGTGTTACATTATGGCTATACCTGTGAAGGGTGCGCGTCACCACTATCTTATCACTGCCCTATCACTTCGTGTGGTAGTGCTTGTAAATTCTTGGATTTGTTTGACAGCATTCTTCTTCGACGATGTGATTTCGAAGTCCTTCGAGAAGCACTGGTCTAGGGCGTTTCGCTGTGCATGTCTAGTCACACTCTTCCAGAAGTTGGCGGCGTGCCTCTTGCTCCTTGGGAGAGAGCCGTGATATATCAGCGTCGTAATACTTATCCCTGGAGGCGCGTCGCAGGACATCCACGGCATACTTTCTGGTCGCCCATCGCTGACGTTTATTTCGAAACGCAGGCACTGTTCATGCGGCTTTTTTCAGATGGCGCTCGTGGCAGGCACCTTGAAACCGCAACTACCCAGCATGGAACTTCACAGCCTCATCCTCAAGTCAGATGCGAACTATTCATCTCGCCCGTCGACTACCCTGGCCTCCCCGGAAGCCAGCTGAGCTAAGCAGCCAAACAGCATCTTGTTACTCTTTCCCTTCTTTCCCCGATAACCCTCACATGAAAGACATGCCGGCCATGTGCAGTTGCGCACTACAGTCACCTCGAAGATTCTGAACACACCAATAGACCACAGCCCGCGCGAGAGTAGATCACGCTTAGGCTGTTTCCGTGGCTGGTTCAGGAACCATCCACAGATATAGATGAGTGGAAAATCGCAGCCACTCAATCTGTGTGGCTTCTTCCAGCCAGCGTTTTTTTTTTCCTTGGCTTCATCCAAGCCAGATGATGGTCGTAATCGCCCGGCTTGGGCGACCGACTCCCTACTGGCTCTCCTTGGCTTGGCCCTCGGCTCCAGACATGATCCAGTTCTGGATCCGCTGCTCCTTGCCGTACTCGTGCAACAGTTCGTCGCCCAGCTTCTTCTCGTGACCGGCCACGGCCGCCGCCGTCGCGGTGTCCCAGATCTCGGAGACCTTGGACGTCCTCGGAGACCTGACCATGAGCCACCGGTCGCCGTAGTACTTGTTCACCTCCGTCACGGGGTACCGCTTGGTGGGCTTGGGTTCCATGAGCCTGCGCATCATGCGCAGCAGCCGCGGAGTGAACCGCTTAAACTCCCGGGGAGTCCTGGTCGTCTTCCGCTTCTGCCAGTCGAGGAACTCGTTGAAGCGGGTGTCCGTGATGTCAGCTTTTTCCCAGGGAAACCTGCGATCCCAAAGGCCACGCGTCAAACCACTGCGCTGAACACAGTCGCGCATGGCCACCGAAGAAACAGCGCAAAAGGCATGCAAAGTAGAACACTGGTATACTGGATGGGTAAGTTACTCGACGGGACTCAGTCTAGCAACGCTAACCAACTTATCGTTACTGCCGAAACTATACGCACCAAATTACGACGTTATAATACGTATTTGTCACAGCCTTTCTTCCCCAAATGCGGTCACCTTTACTCGCGTTTGAAGCTCATTGACGCTTTTCCGTTCCGATTTCTAGATTTCTCAACTTATAAGCGCATTATCGAAAAGCTCTGATTTGTAGCACGAATATTGTCACTAAAAACAAAATAATGCAACATGTTTTTCTATATTACTTTATGATGGCCTTCGGTTGTCTATTTACGAGATTTTAAGAAAAATCGAAGATGGGTTTTTTTATTATTCAAATTTCAGTGGAGTACACTTTTGCCAATATGAGAACTTTGGGGCAATATATAAAAATTTACATTTGCCCTACGGCAGCAATAATTTATGTACCTAATGAACACACTATATCCTTAAAACGTGTTAGTTTGAAAACGCTGCTTGCATTACTTTCGGAGAAAAAAATGGGGAATAAGTAACTTATTTTAAACTGTCGCAAAATTAGACATCTTTAAAAGCTATTTTCTTAAGGTCTACAAACTTGAAACCATATAAATTAATTCTTCATTAGACATGCATTTCAGGTAAAAAATATCTTCCTTGAAACAAAAATATTTGTCTTTTTTATAGCATCTGCGATTTTCGAAAATGACAGGTGACGAAATTGGTGCCTCCGCGTTGGTGAAGTTTGATATTTTTTTTTTCTCGCAAGTTTTGCCGTAATCATAAAACGAAGTTGACTTTCGGGCTACCTGGTGAGAGGTGCACGGAATATAAAATACTCAATGAAATCTAAAATATCAACTTTTGGACCCGTGTCGATCTCTCGTGGAATCACCCTAATATAAATTTCAACAAACCTTGTACACTGACTATGACTTTTGTTTTCTTTATTACCTTGGCCCGATTACTGGGCGCCAAGTCGCGACATTTAAAATCATAATCTGTCCCGCCTTCTTTCCAACTGCCTTATTTCTTCATTTGAAGACTATTTTTTCTGTCACTTGTCACTTTTGAAACTACCATATGTACACCTCACACACGAAACACTTCAACTTTTTTTTATTCCTTTCCAAGCCAATTCATTTCTTCCCATTATGCGTTTGTTGAACGACGCCGTCGTCACTGTTCAACCACGGCTCGGACATACTGAAGTCTTCCTACCTTTCTGAAATTCAGCTGCATGTTGTTCAAGTAAAGCTACTTTAAGGCCGTTCGAGCCCTCATGACTGTGGTCCTAACGTATGCTGCCTGCATGGAACTAAGGCGCAGCAGGAAAAAAAAATTAAGTACAAAGACGTAAGAAGTCTCCCCAAGTTCATAGCGTCACAAACTAGAACAAGAGAAAACTCCGTTCCAACGACCGACTCTGCGATGTAAGAGTGTTCTTTAACTTATGAACCTTTGCCGATTGAAGATACCGCCTTTTTTAAGAATAAGCTGCATGCGTCTAGGTTCTGGTAGATCCGTACACAAAGGACACGCACAACATGCAACAATTTCGGGCGCCCCTCGCCACTGCGCTGCACTGATGACGCCTCTTTCATAGTGACTATGAATTACAAATGAAGCACGTTTTTGTTTGTTCACCTCGCAGTGAGACAGGAGAAGATGAGCATGCCGATTTGCCAGACGTCCGAGCCGAGCTCGACCGTGTAGCCTTCGAGGTGGACAGCCTCCCAGATCTCCGGCGGACAGGTGGGCAGCGACCTGGTCCGCTTCTTGACCAGTGTGCCAGCCTTTCTCGTGAGCCCGAAGTCGGTCAGCTTGACCTGGGCGAGAGATAGAGAGAGAATAAGGATGAACGACATTGATTGATTTGATTGATATGTGGGGTTTAACGTCCCCGAACCGCCATGTGATTATGAGAGACGCCGTAATGGAGGGCTCCGGAAATTTCGACCAGCTGCAGGGTTCTTCAACGTGCACCCAAATCTGAGCACACGGGCCTACAACATTCCCCCTTCCATGGAAAATGCAGCCGCCGCAGCCGGGATTCGATCCCGCGACCTGCGGGTCAGCAGCAGGATGAAGGAAAGGCAGGGAGGTCAACCGCAGCCGAGCCCGGTATAGGCTGAATACAAGCGGGTTAACCGACGCAGCGCAGGCAAAGCCGTGGGACAGATTTGTCGAGTGACATTACGAGTGACGCAAGACACGCAGGTCGCCACAAGTACACTTTGAACATACGCTTCGCGTAGTATATAGGTGAATCGAAGAGCGCATGTACTGCAACGAACTTTCAATAAAGAATACACCCCAGAATATTCTCCATAAAAACAAAACTAAATTAAAGAAAGCTCTTACAGAGTATTGGTTCGCAAAACGTATACATCTTCTGATCATACGCGTATACGTAGTCCTTCGATAGCCCGCTGTTCTGCGCTCATCTATAGTATGACAATTCTGTCTAACAAACATCGCAGTTTTTCTGCGTTCTTAGGACAACGACATTTGTCACAAATACCACATAATGTTCGTACCTTTCGTTTATATTCTTTGTTACAGCGGTTTGAACGTGTGCGTTCTTTTTTCTTTTTTGCACTGCCATTTCCGGTATGCTTAATTGCCAAGTTCTGCCGCTCAAGCCACTGATGACTTTAGCAGTCTCCATCGCGTGCGCTGTTTTTGTAAAGAAATTTATTATTATTATTATTATTATTATTATTATTATTATTATTATTATTATTATTATTATTATTATTATTATTATTATTATTATTATTATTATTATTACTATTATTATTATTATTATTAACAATAAACCAGAGCAAACGCGTTGCTTCAGCGTACTCGCCTTCGTGAAGTCCTTGCTGAAGATGAGTATGTTCTCGGCTCGGACGTCTCTGTGCACCAGCTCCTTGCTGTGCATGAACTCGAGTGCGGGGATGATCTGCCTGAGGACGGTCTTCAGGTCGCGCTCGTCGATACCGCCGTAGTATTCGACGGCGTGCCACAGGTCACCGTAGGGCGCCACCTGTCAACGGGAGAAGACGTGTGCCGAAGTCGGCAAGTGGTCTGGGCCCAAACCCCCCGTGCCTAAAAAAACCCAGTCCAACTCTATCAAAACGAAGTCACCTTAACGTCTCACATTATTGTGCTTTTTAGATCCGACATTTCTCCAGGCAACACACTTTCAAAAAATTCTGGGCCGCTCAATATATTTGAACAAGAAGGCGACGTGTAGTGTTCAGTGGGTAGCCGAGAATCGAAATCGTTTGGGCAAAAGTTACCTATCAAATACGACAGTGTTGACAGTGGCCGAGTGAACAGGGCAGATGCACTAAGTGGTTCTTGAAAGAGAGAAAAAGAAGATGAAGAGTGAGCCCCGTAACTGTCTGCATCACAGTGCGACACCTCAACAGTGGCTCACGAGGGATTGGGGTAAGGAGGGATTAAAAGAGATAGGGAGGAGTAACAGGGATAAGAACAGAGATAGGGGCAGGGACAGAGGGACCCCACATACGGAAGTAAGGAGAAGATAGGAAAGGTGGAAACGGTCGCCGGAGTCCGGGGACGGGGAACCACTCAGCGAGAGCTTCACGACGTCAGGAGACGGCGGAGGGCGAGCCGGTCGGCCAGAGTTGCGCTGTCCTCAGAGATCGCGGGGGCACAAACCGGTCGGCACGAAATCCAGCGGAGCGAGTCGGGTAGATGTATTCGGTCTGAATGCGACATCCGAGACGTTATCCTACACCGCTACAGAAACTGGGTGAAAGAGACTGAAGAACACATTGCATGTCCTCAAAACATGCTGCCTATAAGCCTCATATGAGAGTAAATTTCATTTTTTTTTCCACACCATCACCCGCAGCACCATACGGAGGTCTAGAGATATGAGCAGCGACTATATTTAGACAACCGATAAATGAGCCTATGTAACTACATAGTAATTTATTTGTTGGTGTAAATTAGGTGTAGTCTTTTGCCCCGCCGCGGTGGTCTAGTGGCTAAGGTACTCGGCTGCTGACCCGCAGGGCACGGGTTCGAATCCCGGCTGCGGCGGCTGCATTTCCGATGGAGGCGGAAATGTTGTAGGCCCGTGTGCTCAGATTTGGGTGCACGTTAAAGAACCCCAGGTGGTCGAAATTTCAGGAGCCCTCCACTACGGCGTCTCTCATAATGATATTGTGGTTTTGGGACGTTAAACCCCACATATCAATCAATCAAATTAGGTGTAGAAATGAGAAAAGTGAAGGAAAAGAGACAAATTAACGAACATGTAAACTCCCCTCTGGTTGGAGCTGAACTAATCCCCTCGTAGAGCATGGCTTATATATTCCAACAGGAGAAAAGCAAACGTTGCCCTCTCCGCAAACAGTGATTGATTTATTGATTGATATGTGGGGTTTAACATCCCAAAACCACCATATGACTATGAGAGACGCCGTAGTGGAGGATTCCGGAGATTTCGACCACCTGGGGTTCTTTAAACGTGCACCCAAATCTGAGCACACGGGCCTACAACATTTCCGCCTCCATCGGAAATGCAGCCGCCGCTGCCGGGATTCGATCCCGCGACCTACGGGTCAGCAGACGAGTACCTTAGCCACTAGACCACCGCGGCGGAGCTGCCGCAAACAGTGAGCGGAGTCCAAACAATATTAACGACCCTGTGACGACACGGATAGCATTGGACATTCTATGAAGTTGTCGACTCAATCGTATATATGTATCCTCTGTCCACGTTCAGACGTTATCCGACCATGGCTAACTGGACGGTGTCCCTTACGTGCTACGCGCAGGATCTTTTGGCACAGCAATAGACGAGGCTTTGAGACACGTTGCTTACACGTTGCTTCGGGGACGACGTGAGCGTAAAGCAAGAGGGAGGACGGTCATCCGAGACGTCCGAGTCAGATTTATTAATGACGCGGAATAGCGGAACGCGTGGTCCGAACTAACGACTTCCGGCCAGCTATACGGAGACGCTGCGGAAGTGAAGGACAAAAAAGTAAGAAAGAAAGGGATCCGTGATGACGTTACAGAGGTGGCAGCCAAGACTGGAAAACAGGAAGCGCGTCTAAGACGAATTGCGAAGAATTGTCAGAGGGCCCTCCTGGTAGCCAGGTTAAAGTGGTGACGCTGTGGCAACGAGCCAAATTTGACTGCTTTATTATAAGAGGGTTAGTCTCATCGCGAAGGGCGAATGAGCACCGGCAGGTCCAGTAAAATACTGTCTGTTTCAGTTAAGTCTGACCTTTCCGAACCTTATCTCTGCAGGTGAGATGAGCCACAGTGCTGATCGGTATGTAGCTTTGATATTGATTTGAACCACCTGCTGGGAATCTTTAACAGACGTCCAGATACTGCACCAGGAGCGTAGGAAAACTTTTTTTTTTGGGGGGGGGGGGGAGGTCACCTCACTGCAATGATCATTTTTCGCTCTGTATGCCAAGGCGAAAAGAAATTCGGAGGTGGGGGGGGGGGGGGGGGCACGAGCCTGTTACTTCCTGGCTGAGTCACTGTACTGCACCACAGGTAGTTTCAGATCGGGAGGCGAATACCAGCAGACTCGGACCCGAAACCTCATGCTTAACAAGGAAGAACGACGTATAAACTCGGTGGCTGAAGTAACTGAGCCAGAACTGAGATGAAATCGATATCGAAGCAAGGCTGATTTCGGAGCAAGTTGATTGGTGCAGTACAAACGTCTTCCAGACGTCTACGTCAAGCCAGTTATGACACATCCGAAACCTGCGAGACCATTTTTTTTTCACCGAGAATTCCCACGTGGCGTCAAAGTAATGCTCGCTTTGCGGAGGCTTTTAATAAGTAATACCGTATACGTTTGCCATTTACACCTCTGGTAGATGCCGTCGCCACCAGTGCCAGGCAAAACTCTTAGAGGGCCTGCCCGCTGACTAAATAGAGAGCGGTTTCAACCGACGCGAAGTGGAGAAGACAGCGTTGCTATTTCGAAGCCGGGCCGCAAAAAAAGCGTTAGTCACGCCATGCATGTTTTAACTGCAATCGCCGAGTACGCAGCCTTGTTCATTCGTCGGTCCAGGACTGCACAGGCCGAACACGACTCCGCGCCGGCAGAAACGCAACTGGGTCCACGAAAGAGACCGCGTTTCCTTTTCTTTCAATGAGAGCGAGAGAAAAATGAACGTGCTCGTTGGCTGTTGTTGCTGTTGGCTTGCACAGCCCGAGCACTCGTAAATTATATGCCAGGTTTTTTTGCCCCGACTGACTGCGACAGCCAACACCATGGACCCTCTATTTTTTCGAGTCCCCCTTTTTTTTAACCTCGGTATACTTGCTTTTCGTAGCAACGCTGACGATGACATGACAACCCGGGACAGCCATATTTAACGTGCCTTAGTTTGCCCGGTAAATAGGACGATGCAGAAAATAGTAACCCTCGCCAGCGGCGGCGTACTCAAACCGAACGTCGGATGAGGTGACATCGACAAACGATGTATTTCCGATTGCGCGCCCACACACACCACTAGCTCCGCCTACTGACTGTTGAAAGCTTGTTCGATCGACCGGTATTATCGATGACCGACTACGGGCGAAGGTTGCCCGTACTTTATTTCTTGTTTGGTTTCCGATTTTTTTTTTTCAGAGAGCAAAACAACAAATCGATCTTTCTCGGTGTGTCTGTGTGTTTTCTTTTTCTTTCCAAGTTCGTATTTGTGGACGTTGCAGCTGCGTCTGTACGACTGCGTTGTTTTTGCAACCTCCTCTGCTCGACAGGGCCACTTTTGCTTGTACACGGCATCGCTGACCTTCAGCGAGCGCATTTATAAGGTGAAGGGCTTTTTGAGTTCTGCTTTCGCAGTATTGCGACCGCGTTTGCTATTCGAACAAAAATACTCGAACGTTACGACCTATTCTTTTTGTTTCGATTGTCTTGCTACGTACCAGAATCGAGAGACTCGTTAACATCGCGAGATAAATCGGTAATTTTTTTTAGTGTGATGCGGTTTTGGTTTGGCCGTTAGGGTACAGTAAACGTCCGTCGTAGTCTAGCGTTCATGTATTTTCTGTTTATTGCGCATATAGCACAGCACGCGTCGAATATTTAGGGACCCCAAAAACGCTAAAAAAAAGCAGATTTTTTCCTTTTTTTTTTCGTTGGGAAACCTTGGCCTTATATTTACGGCCTGTTCCAAAACACGTGCGCAACATCGCACAATGACGCAGAACGATCGACCCCCAAGCTGGTCAGTTCCTCGATCGACACAATAGTCATGCGCTAAATATATCAGCATATTGTTACCAAAAGGACGAACTTCTACATAATGACTTGCCAGACTCGACCTGTTTAGCATTTGAACTTAAGGCTCGTAAAAAAAAATGGTTGCCTGGGCAATTTTACCACAAACGCAGCAAGTGCTGCCCAAAAGTGACAATGACCCGTTCCGTCCTATTTTAGCCGTTCCCTTATTCCCATTTCCCTACTTCGAACAACCAAACTCCTCCCACCTTCTGCTCACACAGAACCGTCACAGCGTTTACTTGTGAAGGGGACAAGCGTCGAAAGATGACACATGAAAAAGAGGGCCAGACGACCGGGCTGACTGAAGTGTTTGCTACGAAGGAACAACATATATAGACTATTTTACGGAGGGGTTTCAGGGTTTCAGTGCCGTCAAGTTGGGCTGTTAACCTCTGTGTCTTGCTTCTTTAACAGCAAAAGGAACCGTGTTACGGTATAGACGCATACAAATGAAAACGGTTGAGTTGGTGCATACGACGTTTCATAAACCTTATCGATTCGCATCACAATACACAAAAGAACAAGAAAACTTCGACTTGACAGCCCAACAAGGCAACGCTTATATGTCTTGTGCAAAATATTCTATAACTAGAAAAAAGATGGACATCGTTGCACGTGATTAGAGAAGCATGAGTATACGTGGTGAAGTGGAGTTTTTCCTATGTATGTAGAGCGGTTCCTTCTAATAATTAGAAGACGCTTTTGTGATAAAGTGATTTTTCTAATATTTTCTCCCTGAAATAGTGTGACAAGACCATGCTAAATTTCGTTGTGTTATGGTTTATTTATTGTGTTATTTATTTATTTCTGTGTGTTACTTGTTGTGTTATATATTTATTTATGAAAAACATTACGACAGATGGAGCGGCCTGCGTGCCAAACTGTATTTAGGAGCAGAGGCCCCATGTCAGGCTATATAGCCTTCAGCCTCTGCTCCCGATCCTGCAAAAATTTCAGGACAAATAAACTTCAATTCAATTCAATTCAAATAACACGTATTTTGCGCGCGAAGTATACATAGTATAGTGCTCCGGCGTCTCGAAGCAGACGTCGTATGCGTGTCCAGTATAGCTGCCCAGTGCAGCTTTTTTATTGCCTGGTCTGCTCACAGCCTTGTTGCGCAATAAACTCAATTCAACTCAATATACACTTAACGACCATTTCTAAAGGAAGCAACCGTGGGATAGTCAAGCGTTATCACGGTTCGACGCACCTCCTGCGCAAAGTAGTAGTGTTCGGGCGTCTCGAAGCAGACGTCGTACGTGTCCAGTATGCTGGAGTGCGGCGAGAGGAAGTAGCTGTAGTGGAACTCGATCAGGAAGTCCCTTAGGGTCGTCGTCGCACGCGGCACGGCCTTGAGCGCCACCTGCGAGCCCGTCTCGCGGTGTCGCGCCAGCACAACCTGCGAAAAACGACACGGTCGCCATTACAGGACGAACCAGCGGACTCCGTCGGGTCGCCCATCGGCTACAATAAAAGCTACAGGGGGGGCGAGTTCGCTTTGCTCGGCGTGTTTGTACACGCTGCGGTTGTTTCACCAAATGCTGCGCTCGTGCTGGTTTTTTTTTTTTTTTTGGTAGATGCCTGTACATACATGTGTACGTTCAATGTACCCTCCTGCACACCTTTCGGCTTCTGGCGAAACGGTATTCGCAGGTATGAATAAATCAATAAATGAATCAGTGAATAAGTCAATTACGGAATGAATGAGTCAATGAATGAATTAATGAATCAATCAATCAATGAAATAACGAATGAGTCAATGAATGAATCAATCAATGAAGAAATTAACGAGTCAATGAATGAATCAATCAATGAAGAAATTAACGAGTCAATGAATGAATCAATCAATGAATGAACGAGTCAATGGAGCTATGAATGAATGAATGAATGAATGAATGAATGAATGAACGACGAGCGCTCACCTTGCCGTAATCTCCGGAGCCAATCTCCTTGATGACGTCGTAGTGTTCCTCCATCTGGACCGCCTCCAGTTGAAGTTCACGGACCTTGTGGATGGTGGCCTGTTGCTTCGATTTGTCCATCACGTCTGCAATATAGATTTAAATCAAAAAAAAAAGTTTCGCGAATGAAGAGAAGTGTTTTGATTTAGTGACGCGTGCACCCCCCCGTCAAGACGCGTTAACACCCTGAGATTAATACTGCAGTAATTAGCGAAAGAGAGAAAGACGCTCACATGCATAAACACGCGATGGTTCATTTGTGGAGACAGGTTTTTTTTTTTCGGTTAGTGTCGTTTGACAGTGCACTTGGAATTCTTGGAACCGATTCCCATAATGGCGTGAGGATGATTTAAGTACCAAAACAATAGTTGCTCGTCATGAATTGTCAACACAAAAGCAAATCTGTTTGTGCACAGTGACTAGAAGAAGGCTTTTATTACGATCATTATCATCATCACTACTACACCTATTATTATTATTATTATTATTATTATTATTATTATTATTATTATTATTATTATTATTATTATTATTATTATTATTATTATTATTATCATTATTATTATTGAGCCACTTTGCCATTCAGGTAAAATGGGGAGAACCAAAGCTTGACGTGTGCGGGCCTTACGTACCGTTCCCCCCTTTCTTCCTTTCTCCATCCTTCGTTTCTTTTTCTTCCTCTTTTTTCTCTTTCTTTTTACCACATAGCACAGGGCACTTCTTCCAACCTGTTCTTCTTCTTCTTCGATGCCGCAAATCGGTCATTCACACGCGTGCTTAGCAGCGCAACACTTCGTCTGCCCCGCCCGACCCGAGCGGCGCATTCCCATTCGCATCGAAAGTGCCGAATTCGCTGAAAAAAAAAAAAAAAAAAAACGGTTGCGACACGCGACTTCCAAGACCGCGTGATTGCGTAATCTTCGACGTAGCCATGCCGAAGACAGCCTGTGACGTCACGGGAATATTAAACGGCGGCAGATCGTTCACCCGCTGCCTCATTTAGCAAGCGCCGTCGCGCTTGTAATTATATAAGCGGCAAGGTCACCGACTGAGTGGGGGAGTGACCATAGAGTTTCCTACAATACTCACAACAGAGGGGGAACTGTGGCGCTGCGATCGTTCGGCCACTGTGGGAATGGTGTGTATGGTACGCAGATTTTTCCTATAGCCTTCGTACTTGCGGGCTTCAAACGCACTTGTAGATTTTTTTTTATTGCTGTGTTTTGGTTTTGTTTCGAACGAAACAACGAACCGATGTGAACTGCGTGACTCGATTTGAATCGGTAAACCTAATAAGGTCAAGATGTTGGAGTGAAACTGCCGAACATTTTGTTGATTGTCGTCTCGCGACTAAGCGGTTCCAGGTGACGCGAAGCCAAACGGAGCCGGAAGTACGAAGGTTAGACAAATGTCTGTACTATCTATCTATATCTATATCTATCTATATCTATCTATATCTATCTATATCTATCTATATCTATCTATATCTATATCTATCTATATCTATATCTATCTATATCTATATCTATCTATATCTGTCTATATCTATCTATGTCTGTCTGTCTGTCTGTCTGTCTGTCTGTCTGTCTGTCTGTCTGTCTGTCCGTGTCTGTCTGTCTGTCCGTGTCTGTCTGTCTGTCTGTGTCTGTCTGTATCTATCTATGTCTGTATCTATGTCTGTCTGTCTGTCTGTCTGTCTATCTATCTATCTATCTATCTTGTGAAGGGGACAAGTGAAGGGGATCTGTCTGTCCGTATCTATCTATCTATCTATATATATATATATATATATATATATATATATATATATATATAATCTTTAAGGGAAAGAAGTGTATACCTAAGGGCTCGTTTTTCCGTGTTTTAACACAATATTAATGAGATCTAACAGACAGTAATGCCAAGGAATGTACAGGGGAAATTATTAGAACCAATGGAATGTAAATAAGAAGAAAGAAAAGTGGATAAGTGGATGAAAAAATAAAAATAACCAGCCGTGAGCAGGAATCGAACCTCGAACCTACGACCCTTGAATAACGCGTTCGATGCTCTAACAGCTACCACAGCGGCCTATATATATATATATATATATATATATATATATATATATATATATATATATATATATATATATATATATATATATATATATATATATATATATATATATATATATATATATATATATATATATCATTCCCACGCTGCAGCTGAAACGCCGCGCGTCTCATAGAGACTATATAGCGCCAGAGTTTCCTCTAGTGGGTGTTGTAAAGACTATGTTCATGTTGACGTCACATGATGAGGACGCCATCAATCCAGTATGATTTAACCACTTGACTTATTTCATCATTGGTGGTGACGCCGCCGCCGACGGTCGTTTTCACGTTTGACAGGGCGTATCTATTCAAGGCTTTCACCTCAGGCGAATGAGCAATTAGGAATAAGTGCATAAATTAGGCGTCGAGTGAGATAAGTATACAGTATCCTGGAGAATCAGTGGTTTCAACGAGTGAGTGCTTCACAGAGCGTTGAGTGACAGCGCGAGTGAGGGAGCGTTCGAGTGAATTGGTGAGATCCGCCGAGCTAATGAATGTGATTTGCTGAGCAGCTAGGCGGCGAGTTTTAATGTGTGTACTTAGGTGTTTGATTGAATGATTGATCGATGTATGTAGCTAGTGAATGAGGGATAGAGAGAGACTTGATCAGTCTGAGAGTGAGTGATTGAAAGGGCGAGTAAAAGATTTGAGACTCCCTATATATAGTTGAGTGAGTCACTGAGAGTAAAGTTTACTGCTTCAGCCGCTCGATGAGGTTAGAGCCACAGCGTCGCTTGCGTTTGTTAGTGTGAGTTAAATTATGGAGCGTTGCGTGTCAAAACCACAATACTGTTATAAGCTATACGCCATAGCGGGGGTCTGGATTGGTTTGGATCACCTGAAGCTCTTTAGCAGGTACTTATATTTAGGCACACAGGTGCACTAGCGTTTCACCCTTACCATCAAAATACAGCCTCTGTGGACGGGACTGCAACCCGCGTCCTTTTAGCTCAGCAGTCATCATCATCATCATCATCATCATCATAATCATCATCAGCTTGACTGAACCCACTGCAAGGCAAAGGCCTCTCTCATGATCCGCCAATCAACCCGGCCTTGTGCTTTTCGTTGTCACAATATACCCGCAAACTTTCTAATCTCATCGGCCCACCTGACTTTTTGTCTCCCCTTCGCACCTCCCATGAACAGAGCTCAGCAGTGCGACACAGTGCTTATTCCAGCTGAGCTTCTACGGGGGGGTCGTTTGTAGGTGTGTTCGTTTGCCCGCTTGCCAGCCCGCTGTTTGTTTATCCAGTGTCCCCGTGTCAGTCGACTGGGGCTTCAAGATGGCTGCCGCAGTTCAGTCCCCGGAGGACACGGAGGAATTCTTTCCTTCCTCCGTGCCGCCGTAGCGGCTAGGTAGCCTGTAGCCGAGCCAAGGCTGTATCCAAGGTCCGCCCGATGCGTGCCTCCTCCCGACTCGAGCGTCACGTGGGCAAACACGATTCGGAGCCAAAGAAAAGACGCTTTGACGCCGCGCCCATCTGCCGCCTACACCTGTACAATCTCGGAGCCCTCCATTCCCGCCATTTTCCATCTGCCGTTAGACGTAGCTGAGGCGTGACTGTACATTACGCGTGTCCAAGAGCTTCGTTCGACGATGGGCGTCAGCTGCCAAGACAAACACGCTGCAGAGTTTGCGCTAGAGAACAAAAAAAAAAAAATGCGAGGAAAGAAAAAGACTAGCTGCAAACCATGGGCGTTGCCTCCGTTTCGGGCCCAGGGTTTCAGGCAGACAGGCACTTTCAGGAGGTTGAGAGATAGCACGTTAAATCGAATAATAACACAGCTAACTGCCTGGGCTAGTTAATTATTCACATAAACATCGTGAAAAAAAAAAGGCTGGGATGACAAACACACCTTGGACAAACGCCGACTCCCAATTGGCTATTTTACTGACCTATTGGTGTTCGACTGTCATTTCGGCATCTGCACAACTAATTTCGTTGTAACGGTTCTCTCCTACGCATACGTGATGCATGCGTTGTAACAAAGTAGTCGCGTGTCGCGGGATCGAATTCCGGCTGCGGCAGCTGCATTTTCGATGGAGGCGAAAATGCTGTAGGCCCATGTGCTTAGATTTGGGTGCGCGTTAAAGAACCCCAGGTGGTTCAAATTTCCGGAGCCCTTTACTACGGCGTCTCCAATAATCATATGGTCGTTTTAGGACGTTAAACCGCCCATATCAATCAATCAATCAATCCATCTATCAATCTATCTATCTATCTATCTATCTATCTATCTATCTATCTATCTATCTATCTATCTATCTATCTATCTATCTATCTATCTATCTATCTATCTATCTATCTATCTATCTATCTATCTATCTATCTATCTATCTATCAAAAGTACAGCGCTTGTCCAGTGTGTCCACTTTTTGTCCCTGTTCTTTCTTTTCACTCGATGTATTATGTGTTGCATTGAATTCGGCGGCTTCTTCTACCATATCGGAACATGAACGCAGTTAAAAGGCAGTACCTACAGACTGTACTCAGCCTGTGCGGAAATTAAGTTTTGTATGTGCTAAACACGTACACATGCAAACACATGCACGAAATACACAAACGAAAATGACCCCCCCCCCCCCCCCTTCGTATTAGGTTCCTCTTTACATTCCTAATGCATATCTTGAAGTTTCGATGACATTTAGAGTGAACACGCAGGCAGTTGCGTCTCAGAGTATTCGATTAGAGTATTCGGTTGATTTTGTCGCGCTCACGATCTGGCATGAGCAGCCCGATTGGCTCAGATGCACGGCTGTGGCCGCTATGCGATTGGTTCACAGTTGCGACGTCGTTACGAAACATGGCGAAAGTTTTACGATGACGGAATGAATGCTCCACGGGGTGTTATTCTGGACACGCGATCCCACCGTGTTGGCGTGTATTCGGGCGATGACATATGGTGCTGGTTCTGCTCGGCTAGTCGCAAGACTATGCGCACGCTCCTATTGGGGGCTTTCACGAATGAAAAATTCTGAATCA